GTTTACACTAATAGTTCAGTTCCTTAAGTTCTTAAATCTGTGCATAAATACTGCATTATAGAAACCAAAATGATTTGACATGTGAGAAAGGCCATCTCTGTCTTTCGAGTGGACATGTCCACAGTCTTTTCTGGACACTGTCTTCCAAGCAGCAAGTCCACGGTATTAGGGCACTTTCCAAGGAAAGGACAGGGGTTATCAGGCAGTTGAAGCTAGCAGGGTAAACAGAAATTCTTAGGTTCAGCATCAGTGTTATAGTCTGTACAGTTTGGGCCTTTTGAATCATCATAATTAGCAGTATGTATTGCTTACAGCTGTTAATTATAAACTAACAGTCCAAATTACGATCATATCTATAGCCATGGTGTAGAGTTAACATTAGATTTTTTTTGAAGTAAAACAGGAAATTCACCATTACTGAAATAGAAGCCACAACCTTGAGCTTTGTCCTAATAGTCTAGTTTGTTAAACCAGAAATGTGTTATGATTGCAACTATAAGTTTGTTTAGAAAATGTGTCACTTGGTTTCTTCAGAGAATGTTGTCTTACCAGTTGTTGACTTCATGGACCTTGACAGCTATACAAATTGACAAGAAGTTCTCAAAACATCATTCTCTCTTTTGCACAATTCACATAGTTGCATTTAAAAAAATCTCATTTGCTTCAATCATGAGGCAGGTTTAAGTTTCTTTACCTTATTTTTTTCTTTGGGATTATCATGTATGTTAAATCTTAGTTCTATTTTATTTCAGAATTTTCAAAAAGCAATAAACAATGCAATTTTTGTGAAAATGCTTTAATATAGTTCTCACAAAACACATCTAGTAGTCTCCTCAATTTAAGGAAGATGAATAATTAAGAGGTTTCTTGGGCAACTTGAAATGTCCCATTTGCAGTACAAGCATTAAAGTTTGCTAAAGATTGCTTTCAGTGATGGGTTGCTAATATTAGTTTCTGTAGCTATTAGGTTTAGCTCATGATGTCTCCACTTGTGCAGAGCTCCTGTTGTGATGGTTTCGATATGAATGTTGTTTGCTGTGGAAGTGCAACCTTAATAGGTTCTCTGAAGCTTATTTTTAAATTTAATTCATGGAAATTAATACTAATATAGTAAGACCTGTAAGCTTATTTTTTTTGTTCACTGTTATTGAGTGAGTCTGCAGAAAAGTTTGGGTTATAAAACATGCTGTATATAATACATTGATCTGTTGAGTTTAGACTTCCTATTGCAATGCTTCATTCGCTCTGAGATAAATGTTTATCTTAGTGATATTGCTAGGAAGCTTTTCCTTTTAAAGAGATAGCATGATAATGTATGTCTTAAAATGGAGTGTGCTCTCACAACATGAGGGTCAACACTGAGTAGCAGTCAACTGTTTCAAATACATGGGAGACAGTTTTACAGTATAGATCACTAGTATCAGAAATTTCTATGAATTCCAGTTGCATTGTTTTTATCCATGTTAAATATAATGTAATAGATCTTAAATGTAACTGCTTTTACTTTAAATTTATTGGTAGCTAAATCTCTTTGGATATTCCCAAGTTGAAAATGTTTTACTGGATTATAGGACAGGTATTGAAAAACGCTTATGACTTCTTTCTCTTTGGCTAGACATGGTTAGGAGTGTATTTTCAGCAACATTTTAGTTTTGAGTCATATTCGTTGTATAACCAGGAAATGTTACCAAGTTTTACTATTATTTTTGAGGTAAGGATGTAAAGAGATTCTGATTTTTAAGTACTTCTTGCTGCCTAAGAGAACCACCAAAATTCAGCAACTTTTTTTTAGTATGAACTTACCATGCTGGTTTCTACCAGTGAATTTTATTCATTGTTCTTCTATATTTTGATCATATTTTGATCACATTTTGATCTCATTTATTGTGTGGTTACCCTATTGTGAGTAGTTTGAATATTTATTGGCAGGTATTGTTAAAACCATTCCCTGTCACTTCAGAATTGAGTAAATTTCAATAATTTGTCACTGAAGCCTTTAAAAGGAAACAAACTAACATGTTCAAGTTTGTCCGAAAAAAATCTACCATCAAAGCCACTGAATTCCTAGATAAAGCTCTCACGTTCCAAAATCAGAATGTCTCCTAGGATTTATGTAGAACTTCTTATCATATAGTCCTCCTTTATAATTTGACTGCTCTATATTTAATGATCATAGGGACTTAGAAATATAATATGTTTGTAACTGACTGCCATCCTTCAGTTAACATGGAAGAAGTCTTGAACTGTGTTTAAAAGCTCTAAATTTCTCTTTACTCTTTCTCCTTCATGCCTGTCTTGATGAGGTAGTCAACATCAGGTAAGAAAGTTTATTTTGAGCTCCAGGGATTTGACTATTAATACTCCTTCCACCTTTTCTCAGCTTCTCTGAAATTGTGAAAGTATGCTGTTACCTTTTAAAGAGTATATATAATTTTCATATATTGAAATAGGCCATAAAGTTTCTTTAAAGTATTTAATTCTTTAGGCACAAGAAAAACATTAAAAAAAAAAAAAAAAGGTAAACATTCTTAAAGAATTTTGTCCTTGATCCAGCCAGCTTTTTAAGGGATGGTGATAAACTACATTTTGGTAGGACATTTGCTATTTTGGTGTTTGGACACTGCTACAAACTCTTTGAAACATCCTTAGGATTATGTGATTAGTGACACAGTACCAAGTGAGGTAAAAACTGGATTAAAGCTAGTCATCTAGACCAGAACAACTTTGATCTGAGATTTAAAAGCAAAACATGTGGGTTTACCAGACCTATCTTTTTTACAGACCTGATCAGATCTGAGATTCTTGCAAAACTGAAGCATTAGGAAGCAGCAGATTGAGCTGAATACCACTCTTTAGGGGTAAAAAGAGGTCTAGTTTCTTTCATACAAAGGACAGCCAAACACAACATGAAAAACTTTAGCTTGTTCTTTCACAAAAGAAAACAAAAGTGGTATGCATCTGTGGTATAAGTCCATATTCTGCTGAGATTGATGCAATAAAAAAAAGTTCTTTTTTTTCTTGGAGGTAGAATAACTTTGCTGTTAAGGATACAGAGGAAGAAAGGTAGGGGCAAAAAACTTTTTTTTTCCCTGTGTGCTTGCCCAGGCTTTCCTGGACTTTTAGATATGTTTAGCTAAATTTACAAAAAGATTTTGGCATGATGCTTTACTTAAAGCTTTTTTTCATGTTCAAGTAATATGCTGGTGACAAGGTGTTATTTTGGTTTTTTTGGTAGTTTTGCAGTTTTATAGATATCTTCTGTAGTTAAGGTAAACCAGTGGTTATCAGTACAGACCTGAAAAGCACATGATCTCTTACTTTATATAAAAACTTAGTCGCTTGTTTGGAGGGACTTTTCATGCAGTAGTGGTTGGGAGTTGTTCTTGATTTATTTTACTGATTTTTTTAGTTGAAACTCCATATGGTAACTATCTGACCCCATATTACAGAGTATTTTAGAGATTATTTCTAAATACTAATGAACAAGACTACCAGGAGCAGGACGAGAAGAAAAGGTAAAGACCAACTTTAGTACAAGTATTCAAAAGTCTAGTTCTACAGCATGTACCAATATCCCTCATATGGACACTGATGTAGTTTAAAAGTCATTTCATACCTGCAGCTTTTACATGCTGTTAACATCTTATTTGAAGGCTTTTAGCATGGCTGTGAATCTTGTGGTGTTTTTTTTTCTCATCTTTTATATAAGCCCCTAGAAAGTACAGAGATTCCTTCTCTAGATGAACAGGTAAAACTTTGGTATCATTAACAAGGGCCCATATGCACTATTTATTTATCAAGGTGAATCTTTTCAGATCTTAGAAGCCTCAAATAGATTTTTGATACAAATAACACATTTTTCCTTCCTGCTATTTCCTGCATTCTCATTATTGTCAGGAACTGCTTACAAAATAACATTTTGTGCATTTTCTTATTGAAGCTCCCACAGTAGCTTGAGAAATTTTCTGTAAAGCATTCAATGCCTTTCTACATGCATAGGGTTTTTAATATGTACTCTCAAACTGTGAAACTGGCTCCAACATAATTGCTACCGTAAGATAGCAAAGATGGAATTCTGAGAAAAAAACTTCAAGTATGTCTTCAGAGAATTACAGTTATTTTCACTAAATTGGAGATTTGCCAGTCTAAAACCTACAGAAAGTTTTAGGTTTTACTTATTAAACTATTCTAACTCTGTGTTCAAATTATTATCACTCCAGCACAAGACATTTGAAGTTAAATATATTCAGACATGGACTGATCACTATTTTTGTTTAATATTCTCTTAGAATTAAAGCTAGTCCGCTTATGCTGTATGAAAAGAAGTTAGAAGTTTCTCTTACCTTGTGATCTGAAATCTCATCTGTGATGAATCAGATAATGAAGACACTTGATCTTGCAGTGTAAACAGGACTGAGTATTTCTTTTCAATGTTGGTTTTCACTGGCTGTAAGAAACAGGAGCAATATTCAGTTGGGGGCCTCTTTGGAGGACAAGGAGAGCTTTTTATCAAGTGAGAAGGGGAGGTGATAAGCAAAGGAAGGAATGGAGCTGTAAAAGGTAAGACATGAAGGTCAAAAGCACTGACAAAACAAAGGCTACTGTAGAAAAAGCAACTGCTTAAGCCATCCTCATGGGGATGTTAAAGATGTAGCAAGTAGCCTGGAGGAAATTGTCCTTGGTGTTTCTGGATACCTCAACTTCTAAGCTTTCATGCTTAAGTAGTCTGGGAGTGGAAAGAGAATTTGGAAAGTGTTAAGGACTGTTTAAAGACCAACTTTCAAGGCCTCTGCTTGGTCCACCAGAAATGAAAAGTCACTTTGGCAGTTCTGATTCCAGCTGTGTCTTCAAGTGATCATCAAATGTGCTCCTTCCAAATCTATCATTTCATTTAAATCATTAAATGTTCAGAGACACCTTTTTTGAAATGTCTTTATTTTTTATGTTAGTCTTCAGTTGTAATTAACTGCATAACTCCTTTTCTTTTTCTCTTTTAACAGATCAAATGCCTAAAAGGCCAGAGAGACTTATCAGACCAACGCACTTTTGATGGGATTCACATTGTCAACCATTTCACAGGAGATGATGAATCATTTCATTCTTCTGATGAAGATTTTATAACTAACTCCATACAGGAGAGTGGAGTGAACTTTCACCTATGTAGAAGGACGGCTCAGGTGGCTTTGGATCCAACAATTGTAGACAGCAGTGATAGTGATACTGAGGAAAGTGCCCTCCAAACTGAGAATTCAGGCAAAGTTATTTCCAAGCAGAGAAGAATGGAGTCTTACTCTACTACTGTGTGATCCTCACTGTGACTAGAACTGAAGGCTTTCATATTTTTTCAAGGGTTAAACTGTCAGAAAAATTGAAAGTATCTAGCAGCTGGTTTAGATACCTGTTGGAGCTTGTCTGGCCTGTACTACACTTGTGTATACTATCTGTCTGCCTTGTCTCTTTGCCAAATCTTGCTGATGACACACCATTGCCATAGAACAGGCTAGGAAGAAGTTGATGGATGACAGTTGTAACAGTATTACTGAATGTTCCTTGTTTCAGATAATGCAAATATATTCCTTAATGCATACCGTTTTTGCTGTTTGCAAACACAGCAAAAACATTTTTTCAAAAGAAATTGCTCTTGTGCAATATTTTATGTTCCAAACAAATGTCTGTTTTATATTGTTTTCCATTAGCAATCAAGATGGATGATAGCAAGCCATCTGATCATGACATATATATAATTCTATGCTTTTTGTTTATTTTTGTCTTTGTTAATGTTATTGAATGCCCACAGGAGACTTAACAGAAGCCTTTATCTGTGTTACTTCATAAATGCAAATACTGGTCACTAATGCCATAAAGGATTTTGATTGTTTTGACAAATTTATGTGCATCTGCTTTTGATGTTGCTAAGTAATACCTGTTCTGAATATATTAACTACAGTAATGTTTATTTTGTACATATTTATATACATGCACCAAGCTGAAAATGTACATTACACATCTTTTTTTTTTTTTACGGGGAATGTAAATGTTGCAATATGACTGTGTCTAGCATTCTAGCAGGAAAATTAATTCTGTATATACACACTAGAAGTGAATTACCAAATAAAGGCAAAACACTAACCTTAGATTTAATTTCAGTGTAGCTACACTAACAGCTTCATCTTTAACTGAAATGCTTGTTTAGGACACTATTGACTGAAATATTTTAACTTCATACATATGTAATGATAATAAATTTTTCATGATTTAACAAGGTTGCACCATTTACTGTTTAATAGCTTTTATGGTACAGGGCTTAGTTATCATGTCACCACTGGACTCCAGAGCATTGTTAAATATGGTCAAAAATTACTCCCTATTGGGTTATACTTTGCAGTTCTAAGGCAGGCATGCACACTGCAGCAGAAGTATATACTTAGGTTTTCTTAGTTTTATAGTGGAGAGTGGTTAGAAAATAAGCACTGTCCTTTCAAAAAAAGAAAATAGGTATGATTCAACAGAGCTATAGCTGCTGAGCATTTCTCTATTAAATGCTGTCCCGAAGGCAGATATCTTGAGTTTATGCTCCCATGGTTCTAACTTCAACAACCCTACTTCATATGCTAAAAGTTGTCATGTGGATACTCATCAGCACCTCAGATGCCTTCTGAGTAAGAATATTCCAAATGTCAGCAACTGTAGCCACCTTTCATAATTAAACAATCTTTAAAACGTTTTTACTAGTGCTATTGCAGCTGTTCTGTTCAACTAAGAAAGTAGGCAATGCACAAGTCAGTGCTGGCAAATGTTGCATACTGCTGAATGTTTGATAGTTCTCTTAAGTATTCACAGTATTTCACTGGCTTCTGAGTGATTTTAAATGATTCCTTTCAAAGAGCCCCTAAAACTTAAAGAGACGTTTATAAATAACAGTGATAGGGAAAGTTCTGAACCTGGCAGCTGCATTATTTGCTTAGGTGCTCTCTATTATAAATCTCAAAGCAGGTGCAGAGCAACTTCATTACCAATTTCTGCAATTCTTGGCTTGTTTGTTATTTCTGCAAATAGAACATGGGACCTACTTATGCCTCTAAAGTTCCTAGCAGAGCTGATGGCAATTGCCACCTCTGAGGAGAGTTAGCTGACATTAGTTCTAAAAGCTGTTGGAAATTTAATGTATGCAAAACCAAGTCAAAAGCCCTTTTCTTCATTCACAAATAACAGTTACCTTATCCCTCCTCCCTAAATGAGCACTATGATAACTTCTGTTTGCACCTGGATAATTGCCCAAGATGATAGGTGACCAATGTCATGTTGCCTGTCATCAATACCAGCTGCAAGTCTCTCTTTAAGATAATATCCTATAGTAAGTGGCAGGAGTAAAATTCAGTTGGAGAGCCATAAAATCCTGTCTGTTTGAACAGTGAAGTGTTATGATTTTGCAATAACTGCCTTACTGTTCCATCGATAATAAACAAGATCAGTTGGCAAGGGTTATTTCCTGAGCTTTTGTGTTTTTATTTATACTAATAGTACAGACACTGAAAAATTAGCAAAAATAGAAATATCAAGGAAAAAGCAAAAGGCCATGTTCAAATAACTGTGCTTAGAGATGAAGGTAAATCACTGGATGTGCTACAATTTCAGAAGGCTGAGTTACGTACATAGTGGTAGTTATCCTTGTAAGACAACCCAGCTGGGGCTGTTCAAAATATCCCCTTTCTTATGTATTTTGCCAATGAGGACACTAATTGCTTTGCCTATGTGTATTATGATTCAAATATGCACCAAAATAGATGCTGATTTGTCAACAGCACAGGTAATATATTTACTCATGTAAATAAATAAAGCATACTAATTATATCACAATGCATGACCATGTGTGATCTTCTAATAAACGTAATTCTGTTAAACTTGCTTTCGTGCTACAGGTAGGCTGAAAAGGATGCATGTCAAAGTTAAAAGTGTAAGTTAACAAAAGCATGTAAACACAGTAGGCTGCTTAAATCTGCAAATGCTTGGGCTGAAAAAAACAGGTAGTAAGTGAGTAGGCAAAAGAAATGCCCTGCTGGATATCAGGTTTTCACACTAGCTACTTATGTTTGGTGGTGAAAATATTCCTGCTTCCTCAATCTGGTATTTTTTTTTTTCCACTGCAAAGTAGAAGAGCCTGACTATTCAAGCTCTCCATTGCTAGGTAGAAAAGCCTCTATATATTCTTTTTTTTTTTATTATTCCCCCAGGCTAAGGGAGTGAATATTTTAGGAACTAATGAAATTTATAATTAGACCTTCTTAATGTAGGACTTTTGATTTTTATTAATGATGCTATAGTTGTGAGTCCCTTTCATTCTGCTCATTGTACAAAATAAAACCTTAATGAAGATTCTAATGTGTGAAAATGTTGGAAAATGATTAGTTATTGGAAGGAGGACATCTGTGAAGGCTAGAAACATCTAAAATCTACTGGCTGTTCACCTTCATGTTCTTTGGCAAAATGAAGGCCCCACATACACATATGTACAAAGCATCACTTCCAACTCAAATTGCTTCAAATGTAAGTGTGAATATATATTATTCTAACAAAAATACGTTCCTAGAAAATAGATCAAAAGTAAAAAAAAAAAAAAGCATCCACATAGGAATTTGCATAAATTTAACAAAACCACTCTGCAAGTTATGCAAAATTGTATTCATGCAATACCTGTACCCATTTGGTGGAACAGCAGCAAAGGAGGATTGCATGTTTAATAAAATTATTTTCTATCAGAGAATAGTATAGTGACTTTGAAACATGCTGCTCACAATTTGTTTTATGACAGAATGACCTAAAGATACACCTGTATAAAGGATTCACATTTCCGAAAAGAGGTCCTGATAAAACCTTTTAACTGTAGAGACTGAAAAAAAAAAAAAAAAAAGTTAGTGATTTAGGGGAAAGACGGGAACTAGAGGACAATGCAAATCTCATGGGAGAGTCATTAGGCTAGTCTCTGAGAATGAAATCTAATGTCAGCCTATGAAATAGATTTTACTCCTACCTAAGTGGAAATCACATTCCTAAGTTTAGTTATGGATTAATTACTAACTCCTCTGTAATTCTGTTTGCTAGACTTAGTTACTGAAGTTCTAGTTCATTCTGTGAAAAACTGTTAAAACAACATAATTTATGTAATTCTGTGAGCATTTTTTTTAACGAACTGAATCAAGGCAATAAAAAAAAAAAGTCAAATAAATATATCCATTAGCCCTTAGCACCAAACACTGAAAGATTCTCAGAGTGAAGAAAACATGCTTACCTATGCACGTTTACACATATGGACACTAACTGACTGGGATATAAGTCAGCTCAGAAATACAACAGCTTAACATCATTCATTTCCAGCAATAAATACTGACTAGTTGACTCATTTAATGATTCTAAAATACAAAAGCTCTAAGGTGCACTCTTAGAACTGGATAGTAACTTTTGCATAAACAATTGTAATTTCTGGTCTTTTGGTGACAATAGTAAGGATAAAATCAAAAGTAATCTCCCTGATTAACAGAAAGGCAGACAGCTAGATCGTGAAGAAACTGAAGCAGTATATAAGATCTCTTAAGAATCATTATCTTAAAACTTCCATTCATGCTAAGCATATAATTTTACGTTTTATCTGTGGCCCTTGTCAAAACTAGGGTTTTGCTGTGGATAGGTGCTCTAGAAAAGTGCCTAATTTATAATGTTCACATCAGAATCCCCCTCTGAGAACTAAAATCTGGGAGGCCACTTTAAATAGCCGAAATTCCATAACTTACTGAAGCAACTTGTTCTGGGACTAGTCCTTTCCATTCCAAGCTGGAATCCCTCTTTCCACCCCAGTCTTCAACACCAGCTAACTTTCTCCAGTTTGTGCTTGCAGTAGTCGCAGCTAGTTTTTCTAAACAGATGTGAGAGAAACAGATAAACAGATGACATTACAGGGTTTTTCCCAGTGTTTAAAAGCAAACAAACAACAAAGAAAAACCCCACTATCCAAATTGCTAATTAAAGTTTGCCATATTTACAGCACATTCTTAATATCCATATTTACATCCATAAGGCAAAACATAAAGAAAATATCATAAAGGGTGACAGGAGAAAAAAAAAAACAGAAGCAGCAAGCAGAAATTTTAAAAATAATTAAACATTTTGAAAACTGTAATAAAATTAAAGTCACACTTTCCAATTTATGCACTGTGCTAGTTCTAGCAGCTTCTTATAGTGAACGTATTCTGGGTAGCAGTGATCTTGGGCTCTATTACACCCAGGTGCACATGTTATTCTGAGTTCTGTGCAGAATCACTCTTTGCTACCAGCTCCCAATCCTGACTTCTTCTCGACACAGACACAAAAAAAAAAGTGTCTCTTCCCTTACAGACCAATAACCTGCCTGTTAAATGCTGATCCTCAAATCTTTCCATCACAAAGTGTTTTATCACTTTGGACCATGAAGTTCCTATCTGTTTCCCATAACTTCTGTTACCTTATTTGACATCTTCTTAGCTCTAATAGTGATGTCAGGCAGCTCAGTGCAGTAAATAGCAAATTTACTGCATTTATTGCAGTAAATATGACTTTGCTCTAACAGGATGCCCCACTAGATTAAACCTATCCTTCTGTTTATTTTCCTTTGTCACGATGGGTTAATAATACTGTACTTACCACTGTGCGCAGATATGTCTTAGCAAGCTTCGATGTTTTAACTTGGAATATTACAGATGCTTTGGGAGGGCCTGTTCTAGTAGCTCTGTTAAAAGTCTCTCTTCCCTGCCTCATTACTTACACTCCACATGAATTCCACTTTCTGCAAACTCACAGCTGCTTGGCTTTTTCCCATTTGGGATTTATAACAGCATTCTCACACTCTTCCCACTGTGACCAATTAGGACTACTGCATACAGGGGGGCATTTTAAGCATTACTAAGCTGCTGCACACAGGTCGCACAGTAACTCCAGGCTAAAGACTCAGTCTCTTTACTCCCATTTTTACATCTCCTCTGCCATAGTGCCACTGCAGGTGACGAGGTCCCACGCGGGACAGGGCCCGGGGCCCTGAACACTGAGGGAGTGCAAACTGCTTCGCGCCCGCGGACTGCAGCGCTGAAATACCTTCCGTCCCCTCTTCAGCAGAGACAGCAAGCCCTAACGGCCGGCGTAACGGCTCCCTAACGGTTGCCTAACGGCCGCCTAACGGCTCCCCGCGGCGCGCGGGAGGGGCGGGGCCGTCCCCCGCCGCGCCCGGCCTCGCGCCCACGCCGAGGGCACGTGCCGAGCGGCAGAGCAGCCCCGCGGCGCCGCCGGGCCCGGCTCCGGGCGTTAAAGCCCTTAATCGGTGCGTCCTACCACCAAGAGGGGCGCCGGGGACGCGGTGCCCCAGGTCCCTTCCCGCCGCGCTCCTGGAAGGGCTGCGAGCGGTGTCCGCACGCACGGCGGCTTTAGAGTCGCCAACAACGCGTGCGTTGGCTTCTGTTTATAGACGTCATAGACGTGCAAGCTCGGCTGTGCGTTTTCTCGTCATGATGGTTTATCGGCCACAGTACTCATTCCTAGTAATGTTTTTTTTTTTTTTTTTTCTGTTGCTTTCATTGCACACTGCCGAAGTGCTGGTCGAAAAGGCAACCGAAAGGCTGATGCATGTATCAGCTTATGTCGTAGGGAACCGTGGCACGCTGCTTTGCTAAAAGTCACAAGCAGTGAGTCAACGCAGGCGCTTGCATGGAGTTTTACCGACTTATGCTAATTGGGTTATTTCTACTGATTCCAGCATTTATTTTGCAAGCCGGTGGCGTGCAGGATTTTCGCAGTGAACAGAAGCGCGGCGAGGAGACCGCGGCGCACAGACGCCGCGAGCAAAACTGCTGTGCCCAGCACCGGGAGCTTCCCGGCACGAATGGAGGTGTTAAAGGTGCTGTGTCAGGCGTTTGCTTCCCCATCCCCTCGTGTCATTACTAAAGCAGCATTTAAAAGGTTGGAAAGGTGGTGTGACTTCTTTTCCTTTTTTTTTTTTCCTTTTTTTTTTTTTGCTTGCCTCGTTAGATTTTGGGAAGTCAGGCTGGGGGGTTGTGCCCCCGGCTCCCGCACGCGAGGTGGCTGACGAGCCCGCGCGCTTCTCGGTGCAGAGAGGCTCCCGCCCAGCGAGAGGGGGCGGCTGGCAGAGCTCCTGCCCTGTCCCACTGCCCTGTCCCGCTGCGGCCGCGCTCTGAGCCTCTCCGTCGTTTCTGGTCGGGAAGCGGCGTTAAGCTTCGCTCCGATCCGTGCAAAGCCAATGGCCCTTCCACAATCGAAAGGAAATGAACGGCTGGACGAAGCCCAGAAACACCTCAGAAATATCCAGCCCAAACTCCCAGAGCCGCAGACCTGAGCTGGATTTCCTGTCTGCACCAGGAATCCCAGGCTGGACCTGGAAAACTCGGCGTGGGGGACTAGAGGGCAGCGAAATAAAAGCTTTCGTGCTCGCAGACGGGAGCGCGCTCGGCCGCGCGCCGCCCCGGGCCCCGCAGAGCCTCCCGCGGGGCAGGCGGCCCGGCTGCGGGGCCGGTGCCGTCCCGCACGGCGAGCCCCGCGGCGGCAGCCGGGCTCTGCCCCGCGGCTGCCTTGGAATCACGCACGCTGCGGTATCCTCGGGAGCAGCTGAGGCGGGGCGGGGGGACTCTCGCCTACCCCTTCCATATTTAACCATTACCTAAATCCGAAGGGAAATGAGCAAACCTCTAGGCTTGGGTCTTTGTGTATTTTCAGCGCTGTTGGGCGTATTTATCCCGAAAGAGTTTTCCACAACAAGTTATTTCTGGGCTGGGGGAGGTCTCCATTGCCTAGGGCGCTGCCCTCGCCCCCCTTATAACGGCGCGCACGTCGCGGCGGCCGCGGGGGACACGGATGTGCCTCGGGGTGGCGAGCGGCTCCGTCCCGGGCCCTCTGCCTCCGTCTGCGTTGAGTCAATCTGTGTTTTGAATCTGTGACTTGTTCTCGTTGCGGAAGTTGAAGGGGATCCAAGAATAGTTCAGATAGATGTAATTTCTAGAGCAGAACCCCCAGAGAAAACGAAACGCCCGGGGCTGGAGTGACACTCCGGTGCCACTTCGGCGAGCCCTGTGAGGTGGAATACGGTAAGAAGGCTTAATTCAAGGAAAAAAAGAGAGAGAAGGGGTAGCCGTGTTGATTTGTGAGGCCTTCGCGCTTTTTTTTTTTCTTTTTAAAGCTTTTTTTTGTTGTTGTTGTTATTGCAGAAGCTCCTAACGCTCAGGAAGTGGAATTTGTGGTTTAGGGGGCCGAGCTCTGAGGAGTTGAGAGAGACAGAGAGGAAAAAAAAAATAAAAGCCAACTCAAGCACCATTGCTCCTTAAAGGCTAAATTTAAAGTCACCCAAACTAGCAGACTGTGGCGCGAGCCCCGTCTGCAGCCCCGCGCCTTCCACCCCTCCCAATGGGTAAGCGCTCTTGGTTTTCTCCCCTCGCTTGGGCACCTGCCGGCGGGAGGGCCGCGGTGGCGGCGCCCCCTTCCCTCACAGCTCCTCCCGCCCCTCGGGCAGCTCCGCGGCGGCGGCGCGGGGTCACGGCCACCCGCTTCGGGCGCCCGAGAGCCGCCCGGCCCCGCTGCGGGCGGCAGCCGCCTCGCGCGCCCTCAGCGGCGGCCGTTGGCGCGCGAGGGGCGGGGCAGGTGCCCGGGGCGGGGGGGCGCTCGGAGCGGGCGGCCAGGTGGGCTGCGGGAGGCGCCTTCCCACGGCTCCCGCCTGCGAGGCTCCAGCCGTGGGGCGGGGGAGGCGGCGGTGCCTCCGTGTTCTGGCTTTTGGAGGGAAAAGCGCCGAGAGGGCAGCACGCGGCAGCAGCGCCGCGGGAGCCTCCCGACGGCCCCTGCTGCCGTTGCCGTCGGGGAGGGCGCCGCGTCTCCGCGCCGCGAGCCCGCTCGAGGATGGAGGGAGCCGCAGGTGGGCGCGGGCGGCCGCGCTGCCGGCCGTGCGCGGGGGCGGCGCCTCCGCGGCGGCGCGCGGCGCTCAGGGCTCGGCCCGCTACGTGCCCCGCGCCGCGCCGGCCGAGCGGGCTCCACTCGGGGCGGAGCGGCCCCTTCCCCTCATTTGTCCTTTCGTAAACCTGAGGCCCCTCGAGGAGAAAGGAAAATAAATGTAAAAGGAAACAATCCCCCCAATAAACGCATTTTTTTCCCCGAAATGCCAAGTAATGGGGAGGCTGTCGCCCCGGGGCAGGCAGGGCAGCCTCGGCAGCTCTCCGCGCGCGCCCCCCGCGTTTCCCCCCGCCGCGGGTTCCGTTGCGCTCGGGCTGCGGGACGGCGCCCGCGGCAGCGGGAGTGACCGCGACCTCGGCTCTGCCGCCGCTCGCCGCCTCTCGGGGCTCCGGGGAGCGGATCGCCCGTTTGGCGGGCGCCGCTGCTGCCCACGCGGAGGGGGCGGCGGGTGCGCGAGCCCTGCCTGTGCTGCCGCCGTCGGGCCGGCACCGTCCGCGCCGCGGGGGGGGTGAGGGGAGCGGGGCGGCGGCCGGAGCCACCTGCGCGTCGCCACCTGTCGCGCCGCCCCCCCGGGCGCGCGGCCCCTCCCGGCCGGCGCCCCCGGCCCTCAGCGGCGCTCTGGGCGCCTCCCCGGCAGGTCGCCTCCCCCCCGCCGCCGCCCCGCGGGACACTCGCGGGTGACGCTCGCTCGCAGCCGCCGCGGCGCGGGGAGACGCAGCGCGGGCGGCGCGGCCGCCGAGGCAGCGGCACCATGCCCAGGTCCTTCCTCGTGAAGAGCAAGAAGGCGCACAGCTACCACCAGCCCCGCGCCGCCGACGAGGACTACGGCCGGCGGCTGGACGCCGTGCTGGCCCACATCTGCGCAGGTAGGCAGCGCGCGGCGCGGCGCAGCGCGGCGCGGTGCGGCGGCCCCGGCCGCGCTCAGCGTGCCCGCTCCCCGCAGACAGCCACATCCCCGAGGCCGCCGCCGCGCCGCCGCCGGGCCGCTTCTCGCCCGAGTCGCACCTGGCCGAGGCCGCCGATGGCACCTCCGAGTCGGCGCCCAGCTGCGAGGGCAGCGTCTGCGACCGCGCCTCGGAGCTCGAGGACTTCTGGAGGCCGCCCTCGCCCTCCGCCTCGCCAGGTAGGACCGCGGCCTCCGCCGGTTGCCCCGCTCGGCGCGGAGCCCCCGTCCGAGGGAGCGCAGGGGACAGCTTGACTTTTTCCCACGCAGCGGGCTCGCGAATCTGTCCCCTGCACTCGGGGCGCCCCTTCCAGCCCGTCTGCACCGCGACCGGGAGCACAGGCGGCTTGCAGGAAACTTGTGATGCCAACGGACATGATTATTATTGTTATTACTGTTGTTGTTTCCGATTAATTGCTAAGGCTACATTATGTTTTCAATGTTCCGGAATTTGCCCACAGCGTCCATCTGTCAAGAAGTTTAGCGGCTATTTTTTTTATAAGACAGTAAATATATTTCCTCATCTATCTATATACTTGTAGTAAACAGCACTGACCGTGTGTTTGTTCTACCTGCTTGATGTGTTCCCGAACTCCCTTTCAGGATATTTCTTGTCTCTTGTCTATAAAAAGAATCTCTCCCACTTTTTTTTTTTTTTTTTTTTCCCCTTTCTAAAAAGACATTTGTGAAAACCATTTGAAAATAATGGCGGTCAGATTTAAACACCCCAAATCCAGGAAACTCACACTTATGGCTGCAGCGTCTGTCTCTGGCTCCCTCGTCCTGCCTTTGATGTGGTTGGAGCAGTGGGAGATGCTGTCCCCAGTTTGGCGTGAATACTTATCTCGTTTAAAAATACAACGCTGTCGTTTTATAACCAAAATGTGTGTGTGTATATATATATATAAACAAAACATTTTACTACCTTGGTTAGAAAGTGACAGCTGGAAAAAAAGAGCAATTTCTATCTTAGCAAGGGAATTTTTTTTTCTCGGCTTTGCAAAATGACAGCGAACACCAGCAAACAAATACATTGTCCTGTTCTTCCGCTGATTCTCCTACTTTGTCCTTATAGTATCCTTGCATATCAAGGGTTTGTTGTAATGATGTGGATTAGCATTTTGAAAGACCTTTCTCTCCTTTAGAAGCCCGAAAGCCCTTTGAGCGGACGATCAAAATACAAAGCTGTGTCATTGCAACCAGCCAAGGGACAGTTTCAGTCGGTGCAAATGACAGACGGCACCAAATGCAAGAATGCAACCGTCTTTGGTTTGCTAATATTTCTGCATAAAATGTAACAATATATAACGAATTTGCACTGCTCCTTTCTACTACAGTTTCTGGAGTGGAAAGAGACCGTTTTTGGGAGGTGTCCAGGAGACACGGATGAGAAATGGAGCAGGTAGTTAGCAGGACTGCTCTGCTCTACGTCCCCACTGCTGGGGGGGTTTATTAGCCCCCGACAACCATCACGTTACCAGGGGGAAGGCATTCTGGTAAAATGAGAGCAGTGTACCCAGATCCATTTTTTTTTCCCCAAGGGAGAGGGATCCTGAAACTATCTGCTCCCATTTACTGGGGTAAACGAGTAGGAAGGGGCTCGCAGCCTCTGTAGAAAGAGGTTCATTAGAGGAAGGTCTGCGCCTCCGGAGGGTGCCGCTGCACTGACCATCAAGGCAGTGGCAGTGGGCTTAGAGGGTCAGGCGCCCTCCCACAGCTCCCCCCAGCCCCTGCCGTCCCGCTGCCTTGCCACATTCAGTGTGAAGCTGGAATCTGTGCCTTGGTCACTTCAGCAAGGTGCCCGGGTGAGACCCTGGCTTTTTATGGTTATGTGTCTGGGTGGAGCGCAATTTCTGTGCTGCATCAGTAAGGGCAGATGAGAAATAGTGTTTCTAAATCACGTTCAGAGAGGGTAGATGAAGCTAACAGTACTTAGAGCCCCGTCACCCTGCCGTGCAGCCTGTGCCCTTTCCACTTCTGGAAAGCCAGATGCCGGGGCTGCGGGTGGGCGCAGTGCCGAGCGGGGGGCACACGCACGGGCTCTGCAGCGTCTTAACGTCATTTACACCCTGCACACTTTGTGCACTTCATCAGTGCAAAGTGCTTTGGCATTTAACCTCACCTTTTATGCACGTCTGTAATCACACACATTTGCTTATACGTAGGAGCCTTAATAGCGCTGTGCAGCAGTATGCTAGGATCTCCTGAGTCCATCAGTGCTGCAGTGCTGTAAGAAGCCTTTTGCTGGGTATAACGGAGTTGCTGTGCAGGGAGCATTGTGTTTTGTGGTATGTCTGTGGAGGAAGACACCTAAATCTTTTTCTGGTGTTTGTACCAGTCTGTTCTGATTTTTAGTTTGAGTTGAGCCTGTCTTGCCTTCAGGAAAGAGCAGTGATGTTTCTTCTCCCACCATAATCTGTGTAAGGGCTATGCAGACTTGCTAAGAAGTGTTGGGGACGAGTTGACTCTCTCTCCCTGTCTACCCCCCTGAGGACTGGGCGCTGCAGGAGTGTCTCGCGCCCAGCAGAATGGGAAGGTGGGGTTTGAAATTCCCCTTTGCGCTGGACACAGCACAGGGAGGCTGGAGCGCCCTTGGGAAGCGCAGCGTGCGTGCTCGCCTCGCGAGGGCTCCGGAGCGCGGGCCGGCTCAACGCGCGCAAGCCGATCCGAGGCGCAGGGAGTTAGTGTGGCCAGTGCTGCCAGTTCCAAGGGCTCAGAAATCAGGTCAGCCTCCCCTTCCTTCTCCCTCAACCGACTTAGAAATCAAGACTGTAACTAATACCTCATGGATCTTTTAACTCTCGTACTGGAATATTGAGGGTTCCACTTTCTGGGCTAGAAGCTGCTTTCGGGATGAAAATATAGCTACAAGAAGAAGCAAACAAAGAGCCAAGGGCCTGATGAAATTGTACAGTTTCAAGACCTGGGGCTTTAAGATAGTTCCGAGTCTTGCGATAAAATCGTGAGAGATGGCAACTCTGAAACTGGTTGCAAAGACACAAGATAGATGATGTGACGTTGACCACAACTTTGCAGTCAGTGCAGAACAGGAAAAATCATGCTCAGCACCATGTCAGCTAATTTGATTTCATCGCCCTGTTCAGATGTCCCAGTTGGTATGTGCGCATATATTTCCATCCGAAGGACTACTGATTTCAATAGAAGAGTTTAAGATTCTGTTAAGATCTGAAACTATGGAAAATATAGAGAACAGCCAAGTCACTCAGTGCTTCATTTTCACGTCGCTTTCCACTCTCTCCCTGATACCTCAGTGACCATCTGCCTCTCCAGAGCAGTGACCTAACACATTGTGCTTCCCTCCCTCTCCCATCCCTGGTTATCTTGTTGCACTGAGGGCTGAGGAAGAACGTGAAGCTGAGCAGGAATGAGGAAAGCCAAGAGAGCAGTTGTAGGTGTGCAAGTTTGGAGTAAGGGAGGTTGACCAAAGTAGGGAGTTTGTGAGTAAGGTGGCCTAAGTTGTAAGGGAGACCAGTACCTCTGTGAAGGGCATCAGCAGTTAAGCAGTTATTTCATTCTAACTAAAACTAACATATTTGTCTGGTAGAGACATTTGACTCTCTCCATGCTGCTGCTCAGTGTGATGATGGGGGAAAGCAGAGCACCTCAAGTGCTAATCAGAGTCTCTGGCAGAAGTGGTTGGGATCTCATACCTCCTGTTGCCAGCACAGCTCTGTTTTCTCCATGCATGGCTCCCTGAGCATTTGTGCCTTGGGACCCTGTGTTCCTGCCATTGCCTCCATCTCCTGCTAAGGGCCTTCCAAGTGCGATTCCTTTTGTGGTGCCCACCATATCTGTTGGATGCCCTTGCCAAGGGAGACTGTGGTTAGAGCCAGCTGAAACCGTCTGAGCAGCTCGTGGCATGTCCTAGTGGGAGCTCACTTTGGTTATGACTGGCAGGGGAAGCCTTTTGTGTCTTTGATTTCCAATGTAGCCTTTAGCAATGACTTTCATGATGTTTTTCTGAAGTTCAGTATTTTGGGTGCGCTCAGCTTCTTTTATTTTTAGGGAAGCTCAGAGGAATCTGGAACAAATAGAATTCTCTTTCGGATAAGGCCTGATTTTCTTTTTTCTTTCTTTCTTTTTTTTTTTTGCTGAGAAGTGAGGAATGGAATCCAAACACCTTGAAAGCTGCTCCCTGTGTTGGTAATGCTGTAGTATAATTACGGACAGTTGTGGCACCAAGTCCAGAGGCTAGATTTGGGCATTAAGTTGTGCAACAAGCAGCTTTAAGTTCTTTTGAAAGGGTAAATCTCAGCACCCTTACTCCTCCTGGCACCTTTGTAATGTTGTTTGTACGGTATGGATGGGTGGAACCTGCATCTCAGTTTAAACACTTGGACCATCAGTGTTGATGCCCATCTCGGGGTATTCCAGGTAAGCTTCTCTGAGAAGTTGCAGGTAAAAGCAGGGGAGGCTGAGACTAAGTTGTTCATGATCTCGGCAGTGAGATCAGTGTTCCCTCAACTTGGCAACCAAAATGGATGCAGACAAAATTGGTGGCTGTGTTTAATAATCTGCCTGGGGCAGCATGTGCTCAGGTCGGAGTGCAGGGCTGGCTCGGGCCCGTGATGCACCCGTGCACTGCACAGCTCCCACTGATTCCCGTGTTTTCCCACAGCCTCGGAGCGATCCGTGTGCCCGTCGCTGGACGAAGCGCCCCCCTTCTCGGTACCCTTCAAGCCATACGCCTGGAGCAGCCTGGGCGGCTCCGACCTGCGGCACCTCGTGCAAAGCTACCGGCCCTGCCCGGCGCTGGAGCGGCGCTCGGCGCTGGGGCTCTTCTGCGAGCGGGGCGCCGAGCCCGCCCTCTACGGCGCCGAGTGCAGCGCCTCCCTCGGACTCTATGGCGACTTCGGCTCCCCGGGCCCCGGCCTTTTTGAGAGGCCTCCGGCAGCAGCACCCGGACTCTATGCGGACTCGCAGCCCGGACTGCAGCAAGAGAAGGGGCCGGGGGGCATCAAAGTGGAGTCAGATCTGCTGTGCCGCCCGCTGCTGCTCAGCACTGGCTCGTACAAATGTGTCAAGTGCAGCAAGGTACCGGCTGCCTTTCGCTGCACCCGGCGCGGCTCTTCCCCACGCGCTCCTTTACCTGGCCAGCCTGACCCGTGTGCGCTCTCTTCCCTCAGGTCTTCTCCACTCCACATGGCCTTGAAGTGCATGTGCGCCGCTCACACAGCGGCACGAGGCCCTTTGCCTGTGACATGTGTGGCAAGACCTTCGGCCACGCCGTCAGCCTGGAGCAGCACAAGGCAGTGCACTCACAGGTGAGCTGGGGCAGACTGCCAGGGTGAGGGGCACGGGGCCACGCTGCCGCCCCAGGACCTCGAGGGCAGTCACAGGGCACCGGACGGGCACAAAACCAAGGAGAGGAGGAAAGCATTGCAGGGCCGCAGCGGCAGCCGTGGGGAAGGAACATGGTGGCAGGCAGCGGAGAGGCTGGGCAATAGTGAGCAACAAATTAAATATCATGGGCTTTGCTTCCACTGCCCAGGCATTGCACATGTCTGTATTATGCAATGGGCACTTTTGGCGCTCTAGAGGTAACAGATAATAAATAATAAAATTTTACTGTCAGGGCTGGAAATTGTGGTGAGGACTGTGTGTAGATGTGAAAATTGTAGATGTGGACTTTTTAATGACCGAAACAGCGCACTGTGCTTTGCTTTGAGCCAGCTCTCCTCAGTCCTTCTCCTCCCCCTGCCCCCCAAGAGGTGACTCTTCGCTTGTTTGTAGTGACTGTGTCTATGCAGGGAACATCTGAACGCCCAGGCAGGTACAGAGCACAGACTTCACCCGTCTCGACACGCTCTGAGTCACACACCAAAAGAATATGGTAGTTAAATTTGGTAGGAGGATTTGTAACATTTTCCACCTGCTGATATTGTGCCATATTTCCCCTTCACCCACCCACTTGGCCTGGCAAATCTTCCTTCCTCAGATTGGCCTTGGGAGGATAGAGTTACCATGATGTTTGCTTGATAACTGTTTTATTTACAAGGGCATGAATGTGCAATGGCAGAGCACATAGTGAGGGGAAATATCACCTATTAAATAGTGGTGAAAAGAGCAGCACTGCATATTAAAGCTATGGAGAGGAGAACGTAAAAGGGAGTGTGCATAAAAAGCCAAGGAAGATGATTTGCCTGAAAGCACAGCAGGAGGAGGAAGGTGGGATGGGATTTAAAGGATGGAAGGAAAAGGTGAGTTATGGTGGAAGACAGTGATGAGGAAAGGAGTGTGTGTGAAGGGAAACTCTTAATGCATTCAGTTTGATTTGTCAATATTTTTTTTTCTTGTATGCTTTAAGCTGTGGCTCTGGGGTTCCCAAAACAGTGATATTGTTCCAAGCCCCTGTTGAAGGGCGCAGGCAGCTCTGCCTGGTCGGGGCTATTCCACCCGGTCTGTCAGTCTCCGTGGGGAGCGGAGCCCAGCATTGGGAGAGGGTGCCCTGGCTTTTCTACCATGTCACAGCGTTATGCCAGACTCAGTGTCTCCTCAGGTTAGGGGCTCTCTCTGGAGAGAAAAAAGTGCTTCCTACAACAGCGATGGGTGGTTTGCTGTGGTGGCATCTCTGATGTGGCGTAACGTGCGTGTGTTTGGGCTCCTCTCTGCAGGAACGCAGCTTTGATTGCAAGATTTGTGGCAAGAGTTTTAAGAGATCTTCCACTCTGTCCACCCACCTCCTCATCCACTCGGACACCCGGCCATATCCCTGTCAGTACTGTGGGAAGCGTTTCCACCAGAAATCCGATATGAAGAAGCACACTTTCATTCACACAGGTCAGTCTGCAGGTGCTGGGGCTTGGCTGCGGCGGCAGGGCTGCTCCCTGGGGAGGTCTCTCTTGCAGTCCCTTCATCCTCGGCCGGGACAGTGTGCACATCCCCCTGTGCCTCTCACCACCTTGCTGCAGTTTGTGCTATCTGAGCTCTGCTTGTGCAAAGGAGGGTGATTTGAATGTGGTTTCATGAACCACAGGTGCTAAATAACCTAAATCTTCGCAATCCAATCAGTGTTTCCTTAATAGGATCCACCATTGTTTATTCAAAGGGCTTTTCTGCAGGACCATTCTAGAGTATTTTATTCATGTGGCCTTGATTGTACCTGGAAATGACAGGTGAATTTGAGTGCAGCATCTCCTTTTGCTGTCCCTGCCAGTTTACAATAGGAGCCACAGGAGTCTCCTCCTCTAGATCAAACACTAAACTGGAGGGCCCAGGGTCCGACTCTTAGTCTAAATATTTGTTCAGAGATTGATTGTCTGGTGCTTCCACCCGGACCTTCCAAGCAAATGGCTGCAGTTTGATACAGAATGAAAGGAGACGTGCAGAGTTATCAAGTTTCGTTGTCAGCAATAAACATGAAATCTAATAAAGTGCAGGTGAATCACTGAAGGAAATTGTTTTCGAAATGCTGTTCAGTGAGAAAGCAGGTTTATCAGAGATCTTTATAAGTAAATCTTGCCTTTCAAACCAGCACTATTGACTTTTAAAAGTAATGAGAAATGCACAACCTGTGTGAGATGCAGAAACATTTGTAGGCATAAAATAGTAACTCTACTGGTCAAAGCCAGGCTTTAGGTGACCAAAATTAGGTTTCCTGGCAGTGACCAGTGGCAGATATTAAGGGACAAGTTCAAAATAACCAATACATAAGAATGACAGCATCATAAGTTAAGTATTTGATTTTTCTAGATCATAAGCAGTGAAAAATAAGTGTAACATAAAGGTTCTCCCGTGTATGTTTGACGGATGATACTGAGCTATTTAGAAAGTAAAACAAAAAGTACTTGCCTGGTAACTTGTTCAGATGAGGCTTAATGAAGTAAAATTTCAGCCAATTTCTGAATTAGACACAAGTTATTTTGGTGTAAGATCAGAAGCTGACCCTGGACTTTTATACATCTAATACAAAACCAGGTCCTTAACTGAATCAGAAATCCCTTTCAAATGCAACATATTCTTGCAGATTGAGCCTCCAGCACATTTTGTGTTATCTTATGTTTAAAAAAACATGATTTTCAAATGCACAGAGTGTTTGTTGTTCCAGCTGAAGTCAGTGGGCTCTGCAGGTGCAAAGCCACTCTGAAATCAAGCTTGGAAAGACACACGTGTTCTGTGGTTCTTTATCCGTTATTTGGTAATAAACAGTGTGAAAATGCATGAAGATCTGCCCCCAGAGATGCCAGGGTGTTTTGCCGCTGACCGCTCTGTAGAAGTTCGAAGTTGGATTTCATCCTGTTAACTTTATCTGTCTACAGGATTTCAGGGCTGGCTCGGGCTGGGGAATAGAAAGAAGAGTGGATCTCTAGGTGAATCCTGCCCCTCATCGTTCACTCAAGGGACCTCTTACTTCCCTTGGGGACAGGCCACAGCTCAGTGGGTCCAGCTTAACAACCGCCATCTGTCTGACCCACCTACCCCCATGATGATGCCATAAAAATGTCAGGCATCACCATGGGGTCTTTCCAAAGCCTAGGACACAAAACCAGTGTAAACTACACAGAGCCCATGGGGCTGAGAACACGTGTTCACGTGTGTCTTGTGAGTGCTCTGCGCTTCAGGTCGCTTCGGAACCAGACTAGGACAGTGCTGGTGCTGCCAGGCGCAGGGCTGCTCAGCTGCAGAGCAGGCCCAGCTTTGGCTTTGGGGCTCCCCACTGCATGTTTTTAGTAAGAGTGACTTGCCCGGTGATTACAGAGGAATCATTCTGCTTAGCTCTGTGGCCCGGAGTGCATTTCCTGTTTGTTCTGTGCATCTAGGCAGCCTGTTGCTGTCTTAACACTCTCTGCTGCCCCCCATCTTCTCCCTGCAGGTGAGAAGCCCCACAAGTGTCAGGTATGTGGAAAAGCTTTCAGTCAGAGCTCCAACCTCATCACCCACAGTCGGAAGCACACAGGCTTCAAGCCCTTTGGCTGTGATCTGTGTGGCAAAGGCTTCCAAAGAAAGGTGGATTTACGGAGACATCGGGAGACCCAGCATGGTCTGAAATGAGTCCCAGCTGCAATCCGGAAAGCACCTACAACACTATGAGAACAGACTCCCTTGGCTTCCCCGCTCAGCCTGAGCCCTGTCTGTAGCACGGACCCTGGCATTGCCTTTCTGACCAGGACTTCAGAGAGAAGAGAAGATTGAAAGCTCAACCTGAATGACTGTGAAAACGGAATTTAAGGTTGGGGTTTCTCTCTCTCGTCTTCTCTCTTTTTGAAATAACACTGGAAAATAAAACTTCGAAACATGAAGTCTGATACTCCAAATATGGATAAGCTACAAAATACATGTGAGCTGGAAAGTCTTTCACCCATGGCCAATATGAAACCCCTCAAGTGTTTGGAATCTCGAATTACCTTGCAGGGAAACATGGGTGTAACAGTACAGTGTTTACATGAGAGTTGCCCAGCATTCAGTGAGGGTGTATGGAGTGCTTGCCTTCACTGAGGGTCAGTGCCCAAGGGTTTCCCTCTTGGTTTCCTGTCAGGAAGACCTGGAATAGAGATTGAACTGTGCAGCTTGGTATCATATTGCTTATCAAGCCAAGAGACCAACTTGGGCCTGATCCTGCTCTCACTTACTCTGGCATAAATCAGGATTTGCACTGACAGAGGAAGGCCCTTTGATCCTTCCAGAGCAGTTTCTTGCTTTCTGTCTATGCAAGGCCTGGATGTGTGAGGGTAGTTTTGAGGCATGGGGGAATCGCTTGTTGCTCCATCCACTGGGAAAAGAGAAGTTTGTGAAAGACTTGACTGGGTAAGCTGGAGCACAGAGTTATGCCTTATAACTAGAAACGCATCCAACAACCACCTCTCCTGGCTGAGGAGAGCGGGAGCACAGGGAGGCACAGACTGCCTGTCTAGGATGACCATTGGCTTCCACACTCTGAGCTTGTTATAAGTAACTGGGAAATAGCTACCCAATAGGCTTATTTGTATATTTGTTTTTGTTTTTTATTTTTTAAAGGGAAACTCATCTGAGGTGGGCAGGAATCATTATAAAAGTATAATCAACTGAATTTGCCTTAAATGACCCTGCATGTACCTCAGTAAAAAAAAAAAATGCTGTTTTTACTTTGTTGACATGTTTGTAAATGTCCTTATTTAGATTTTATGGAGTGTCTTATGTTTATTGGTACATATTTATTGGAATAATGTTTTAAATTAATAAAGTATTGAGGATCACCCAGTGTGATTTTTGTTTAATATGTAACTTCAATGTGCCTCTGCAAACCCGAGCCTTTAGAGCCCTACAGCTGCAGTACCCAAGGTGGGGTCAGGCAAAGCGCAGCTCCCACAAGGGCTCTGGCGACTACAGAGCACGAATGTCACGTTTACGTGTCTGACTCACATGGGTTTGAGCTGAAAGGCTTGCTGCTTCTGAGGAGTGGGGATTGCTGTATCTGGATGCATTGATTACGTTAATGCAATGATGAGCACCCCGAAAGGATTCAGAGGCGGGATAGCAGCATACGCGTGAGACCGAGCCTGCCCAAGGCGCCGTGCTCAGCGCAGGAAGCAGCTCAACACCCTGCCAGATGAAAGGTGCGCGCCCGGGAGCCATGGCCACCCGAGCAGCAGGTGCCTCGCGTGCGCGTAGGCCCGTTGGGACTCGCCGCGTGGCCCTCGGCCCGCGCGCCCTCGCAGCAAGGCTCGCTCCAGCTGGCGGCCGCGCACAGCGAGGCAGCAGGACGGCGGGGCTCCTGTGCCCCGCTCCCGGCCCAGCATAGCTTGGCAGCCGGGCGCTGGGCTGCGTGCACGGCCCCGCGTGCCCACATGGCCCCCGCTCTGCCTCCAGCATGGCCCATGCTTTTATGTGCCATACAAACTTGTGCTAGGCAGTGCCTGGACTGCAGGCAAGTGCTCCAACGAGCAGGTTGTGGTTGCCACTGCCTAAACCTTCCTCTCTCCCTCTCTCAAACCCCATCAGTATTTTAACACTTCATATAAGCACATGGAACATCCTGAGCAACTCCAGGGGTAAGAGCCCTATGCTGGAGCTGGGCTATGAGGGCTGGTGTGTCCATGTGTCACCTCCCAGTAGTTCTGCTTTTGGGCACCTTGGGGAGTTCTGGCTGCGTCTCTGTCTCTCAGGAGTGACCAGCACTGTTGCGGGTGGCTGACTGAACCCCAGCTGTACTGCTGCTCAGCCCAGGGCTCTGGAGACTGGGCTTGTGACAAACAGAACAGTGGCGCAAAATCTCAGCAGTTTGTGGGGCTGAGTAGTCAGCGTGAGGAGATCTGCCCCGTCCTGCGGGGTTAATTAGCACCTGGCAGCACGAGGAGCTATGTGGGTAATTGGGGAGGGCTGGTGGAGTCAGTGCTGGAGTAGCTGCCTGCTGAGGAGCAAGTGAGTGTTGCAGGTAGGCCTGGCTGCTGCCAAGGAGATGTTTTAGACATATTCCATGGGAAAGCTGTGGCTGAAGCAAGTAGGCTGTGGGCTGGCAGCGGCACTGGGGTCTGTCTGGGCAGGGGGTTCCTGTCAGGCGCAGCCACCCCACTGCAGGTAGGTGCCAGGCTGGGGGCCTGAGGGGCCTCAGCTACCGCTTTAGAACATGGTGGCCAAGTGTGTGGTTGTCCCCCTCGCCCCCAAGTCGCTTGTTCTTAAGCCTCTGGGCCCCTGTGTTCCTTGGGCTGTTACTAAGGCCCAAATCCCCACAAAAAAAACCCGCTCTAGGAAGGAACTGTGTTGGTCTTGGCTTCCCTGTCCTGGTTGATGCCCATTTGTCTGTCTGTCTGTCTGCCTGTTGTGTATGTGAGGCTGGCCCCTTGCTGGGGAAAAGTGCGGCCGAGTTCAGGGAGAAGTCCCAGCTTCAAGGTCAGACATTTGGTGTGAGCGGGAGGAAAAATAAATCTATCTGATCTATCTGGGGAGAATCAGAACAGGCTACTGAGAGCGTAGAGCCCAAGCCTGAAGATTGGAAATATCTTTCCTGGTGTTATTGCTTTGTGCAATTAAAAATGCATCATGCATATTGCGTGACTCATTATTCATGGAGCGGCGCCCGCACCTTTTGTCTGCCACGTAACAGTAGAAAGGGAAAGGGGAGACGCCGAGCGCACCTTTGTCTGTGTCCCTAAATTTTTAATAGTGCCTCTAGCTAGCCAGTTGGTGAAGCTCAGTTCCCGCATAAAGGCGGAAAGGCAGAGCCACCGAAAAGACGACTAAGCCCTTCAGGAGCTAATTTGAGCTTGTGTTCATCCACACCAGCCATGATTAAATTACCTATCGAGTGTGCAGAGCTATCAGGATTCAGGGCATTGAAAAACAAGGTGAATTTATCTGATTGATTTAAAAGACAGGGATGGAACAAGTGGGTTAAAAATAAATAAATAAAGTCTGTCCTGTCTAGATATTATAGAAGTATTTCTTCTGGTAAGTAACTGAACTTGTGAATTGACCCTGAGACGTGGTCGTGCTTGCCCAGAAAGCAAAGGTGTTAATTGGAGTTAAAATGTTCCATCCAAATCAGTTAGCAGGCCGAGTTAATGCAGGAGGCAGAAACAGAGCAGCTTACCAGGGTCCGCCTGTACAATCAGCAGAGATGCTTAACATTAAAACATGCACACATCATCTGTGCTTTCTCTCCGGGCAGTTTCCAAAAGCAGACAGTGACACTCAGATTGGACATTGCAACACAAGCGAGCGACCGTCTCTGACAGGTCTTGCTCCTTCCTCAAGTAAAACTTTAGTTGCAGTTGCCGGGGAGGGAGGAAGAGGTTTCTAGAATAACCCCTGAGCGCACGATTGCGAGACCCGTGCAACTGCGTAGCCGCAAGCTGCGCTGCTGGTGCGCCTTGATAAAGGAGCCCCACGCTCCTCCATCTACTGCCTTCCCTTCCTTAAGCGGGGCGGCGGGGAACCAAAACAGGTCACTTGTGTCAAATTCATCTCCAGCAAAACCCCCATCGCATGAAGAAGGGATTTGGCCTTTATATATGATTTGGGTCTTATTCGAAGTGGAAGAATGAGATATAGTTCAGCATATGGCCCTTTGAGGGAGTCCTGGTTTGGGAAAATACTGAAATATGAATGGGATTCAGTGAAGTGCTGCTCTGCTAGGGGCCCTGCACGTGAGGCGGCTGCAAACAGAGGTTTCCGTGCAGAGGCCTCGCGCTGCCCAGCACCCTCGGCCAGGCAGCACCTCCTCGCTGTGCTGGCTGCGTCCCCGAGAGGGCCGGGGTAGCTCTTATCCTCGAAAGGACAAGAGAATAGTGGTTACTTCAGGGGTGCTCTCCTCTGAGTAATGCAGCCGTCTAGATGGATTTAAGGCATGTAGATGTCTGTAAGTCTGTAATGTGGTTTTTTTAATATATATAAATATATATATATAGGATGTCAAGTGAGGCAACCAGATTGAAAAAGAGATGCAGGCATTGAAAGCTTCAGCAGCTTCTGAAAACACACTGGTACCAGCCCGTGTCTTTGGATGCCCGAGTAGTCCAAATAATAATTAAAAAAAGACATATGAGTTCCAGAAAGTCTCCTGAGCCTGTATCACACCAGCTGGCAATACACACAATATATCAACTGCAAATAGAAGGAGCTCATAAATCTGGCAGAAAATGTTTAGTACATTATAAAAATGCTGGCCACACATTGTTAGCATAATATTGCTTAACGGACTAACCTGGAGCGCATGATAAATGTTTCAACTAGGATGAAAGCAAAGCACTTTGCTCCTATATTCTTATTTTCATCTGTATTATTATTATTTTTTTAAAGTAGTGATAACATGATAGAAGAGTATTGAATAATACAATCCTAGAAAGAAAATCAGGTGATAGATAATGAGTTTTTCTTCCTTTTAAAAATCCCTCCAGGTAACTTTCTGACACACTTGTGACCTCTGGGATGGCCACTGACCACCCCGCGGGGGGCACAGCGCCCCCGAGTGGATGGGTGTCAGCCAGGGCACTCGTGGGGCTGCTGCACAAGTGGCTGTGCTCTTCACTTCACATCATTTTTGTTACTTTAGTGTAAACAGCTGGCATTAGACGGAA